ATATACACTTATTCCGGAATCCTTGTCCAAAGTCTAAACCACATAGCAGTGCATATATAGTAGCGTCTTTAACTAGAGATAATAATTACTGTCCAACTCTAGCATAAGTTTTTTTTTCATATAGACACTAATGTAGCTTTCTCGAAAACAGAAATCATGCACAATCCCTTTCCGGAAGAAGGGACATAAGAAAACCTCATAATACAAAGTACCAAAGACCTATAAAATAAAGCTAATGAAGAAGTAAGTAATCAAACATGCATGTCATTATTCTAAATGTAAGATCCTTATAGATAAATTCTCACTCCTAAATCATGTTCAATCCGTACACCCATACAAGGATAGTTCAGTTACAAAGATACATGCTGGAAAAGGGAAAAGACATGCCTTGTGTAGATAAAATCAACAATGTAGAAATAATTCTCTTATATGCACGGTATGGGTTTTCCCACTGCTCGTAACCCCATACGCAAAGATCGTGCTATATCAAAATAATCATCTAAACTCTAGCTAGAAAATAGTTCTAAGCTAATAGGTACTTACTACCCTAATTAAGTATATATTAACTCTTTTATGAAATTCATCAAACACCTTGTATACGTGCTTTTGTGAGTTAAACCACTTTAGTAAAGAGTTATATCAACTCACCTCAAAACTTCTCGAGCCAATACGTAGACCCCAGTCCAATTGACACCAGTTAAACAATCGATTCTACAACCACCATCGCATTTTAATCAATTTTAAAGTTTCACACCTAAACATAAAATTTATTGTTGATATAGAGGAAGAAGGAAATTAACCATTCAATTCTTACCTATTACTACTATAGAGTAATTGACCATAGGGAATTTTACATACCTGATTTCAAGAATTAGTGATTTGTAAGGAACCCTAGATTTTTCGTTGCCTGCATGAGTTTCTCTCTGTGTCGTGAGTTTCCCTCTATTCGTTTCTCTCTGTTTTTGTCTAAGCTTCTAATCCAACTCTTTTCTTAAGGCTTGAATCCTTTTTGGTTCCATCAGCCCTTTTATGGGCTTTAGGCCCCTTTTCCCCTTTTTTAACTTANTATATATATATATATATTCACTATAATGGCAAGAAAAATAATAATAATAATTTAATTCTATAATTAGCGTGTCTCAAAACTTTTATAAATTTGAGGAGTATTACAATCTTCCCTCCTTAAAAACATTCGTCCCCGAATGTTGCTAGGGCCTTATTCTTAAGCTAACAATCATTTCTTAAGTCCTTGAACCTCTTAAGTTTTCTTAGCACTACTCACCCTTCTAAGGGACTCAAAATTTTGGCTAACTCCCTAAATTTTTAAAAAATTCGGCAAAGTATCCCTTATAAATTTGACTATCCAAAAAAAATATCCCTGTCACAAATACCACAACTACACCAACAACAACCAAATATACCATAACAGGCCATTCTTAGGCACCATGTACAACTCATAAATTAATTACTCACACTCCGACAAGGAGGTACCACAATAACCAACAAGAATCTAAAGCACAACACTTTAGCAAAAGTAAATCACTTTAAGGAGTTAAGTGTACTATGGTATGACACTAAATTATTAAATAACTAAATATACTCTGACAAAAACTAAATTACTTCAAAAACTAAGTATAATCTAGCAAGGACATAAAATAAACACATGCTAACTTGTATTTAATAAATAAAATACAAATGCCAATCCAAACCTAGGTTCGCATACTTTTTTCCTCAAATAAATGTGGATATTTCTTCCTCATATCTTCCTCGACCTCCCACGTAGCCTCTTTTGAATCATGATTACTCCACTAAACCTTTACCGGTGCTATATTTTTTGTTGTCAACTTTCTTACTTGCCTATCGAGAATTCCTATTCATAAGTCAAGCCTTCCTTAATTTCTATGGTATCGACAGGTATTATATGCGACTCATCATGGATGTAATTTCTAAGCATAGACACATGAAGGACAGGATGAACAGAAGATAACTCAACGGGTAGCACTAGCTTATAAGCCATGTTTCCTTTCATTTCTAGAATTTCATAAGGTCCGATAAATCTAGGGCTAAGTTTCCCTTTCTTACCAAACCTCATAACTCCTTTCATTGGTGAAACTTTCAAAAACACCTTATCACCAACCATGAACTCTAACTCACGATGCCTCTATTCAGAATAAGACTTTTGATGACTCTAAGCCGCTTTAAGTCTTTCTCTAATTAACTGAACTTTCTCCAAGGCCTCATAAACAAACTCTGGACCAATCAACGGCACCTCTACTGGTTCAAACCAACCCACGAGAGACCTACATCTCAGCCCATACAATGCTTCATAAGGAGCCATACCGATGCTGACCTGATAGTTGTTATTGTAAGCAAATTCTATAAGTGGCAAGTGAAAATCTCAATTACCTCAAAAATCTATAACACACCCGCGCAACATATCTTCGAGAGTTTGAATGGTCCTTTATGCCTGGCCATCGGTCTGTGGATGGAAAGTGGTGCTTAAATTGACCTTGGTACCTAATCTTTTTTTAAATTCCTGCCAAAAATGCACTGTGAACTGAGGGCCTCTGTCGGATATGATTGAAACGGGAGTACCATGCAATCAGACTATTTCTTTGATGTACAACTGCGCATACTGCTCTGCGGAATCTGTCATCTTTACTGGTAGGAAATGCGTGGACTTTGTCAGTCGGTTTACAATAATCCAAATTTAATCATGTTTACAGTACGTGCGAGGTATACCTACTACGAAATCCATATTAATCATCCCCCACTTCCACTGTGGTATCTCTATATCTTGAGCTAGGCCACCAGGCCTCTGATGCTCGGCTTTGACTTGCTGGAAATTTAAATATTTAGCCACATGATCTGCTACTTGTTTCTTCATTCCTTTCCACCAATACAACTCTTTCAAATCTAGATACATTTTGGTAGCACCTGGGTGGATAGAGTACCTCGAACTGTGAGCTTCCTTCATTATGGCCTTCCTAAGATCATTTACATCAGGCACACATAACCGATCATTCAACTTCAGAACTCTATCACTTCCTAGAGTCAAAGCAGTGATTTCTTTGTTTCTGACTCCTTCTTTTAATTTCACTAAGTACGGATCTTCGTCTTGCTTAGCCTTAACATGCGCAATAAGGGAGTATTGCACTAAGGCATAAGTAGTTATACCTCCTTCTTTGGTCTCATACAATCTAATTCCATCATTTGCTAGTTTTTTAATTTCTCGACCCAAAGATCGCCTTTGTATTGCAAGATGGGCCAAGACACCCATTGACTTCCTACTAAGTGCATCTGCTACCATATTAGCTTTGCTCGGGTGATAAAGGATATTGATGTCATAATCTTTCAATAGCTCGAGCCACCTTCTCTATCTCAAATTTAATTCTTTTTGCTTGAAAATGTACTGGAGGCTTTTATGATCTGTAAACACTTCAGAATGCTCTCCATAAAGGTAATGTCGCCATATCTTTAATGCAAACACCACTACTGCAAGCTCTAAGTCATGTGTGGAGTAGTTCTTTTCATGATTCTTTAACTTCCTGAAGCATAAGTAATAACTTTTCCATTTTGCATAAGAACACAACCGAGACCAACTCTGAGGCATCACAATACACTATGAACCCACCCTAACCTGTCGGCAAGGTTAATACAGGTGCAGTGGTCAACCTCTTCTTTAACTCTTGAAAACTCTGCTCACAAGCGTCTGACCACTGGAACTTAACTGCTTTCTGGGTCAACTTAGTTAATGGAGCTGCAAGTGAAGAAAACCCCTCTACAAACCTTCTATAGTGGCCAGCTAACCCCAAGAAACTCCTGATTTTGGTTGGCGTTGTCAGCCTAGACCAGTTCTTGACTGTTTCTGTCTTTTGAAGGTCTACTTTTATTCCTTCACTAGATACCATGTGACCTAAGAATTCTACTGACTGCAACCAGAACTCACCTTTTGAAAACTTGGCATAAAGCTCATTCTCCTTCAAGGTCTGCAAGGCTATTTTGAGGTGTTCTGCATGATCTTCCTTGCTCTTAGAGTATAACAAAATATCGTCTATAAACACGATAATAAAGGTATCAAGGAATGGCTTGAAAACTCTATTCATGAGGTTCATGAATGCTGCTGGGGCATTTGTCAACCCGAAGGACATTACTAGAAATTTATAGTGCCCGCAGCGAGTTCTAAAGGCTGTTTTAGATATATCTTCTTCTCTGATTCTCAACTTATGGTACCCCGACCTCAAGTCTATTTTTGAAAAGTACTTTTCACCTTGAAGTTGATCAAATAAATTATCAATTCTTGGCAGTGGGTACTTTTTCTTAATGGTAACTTTATTCAACTGCTGATAGTCGACGCACATTCTGAGAGACCCATCTTTCTTTTTGCCAAACAGGACCGGGGCACCCCACAATGAAACACTCGGCCTGATGAAGCCCTTGTCAAGAAGGTCTTTCAACTGCTCTCTCAACTCATTAAGTTTTGTTGGAGCCATCCTATAAGGCGGTATATATATGGATTGAGTGCCTGGCATGAGATCAATGCTAAAGTCTATGATTCTTTCGGGAGGAAGTCCGGGAAGGTTATCTGGGAAAACTTCTGGAAATTCTCTAACAACTGGCATAAACTGAAGAGCTGGTAGTTCTGATTCTGGATTAATGATGTGAGCCATATAGGCGAGACACCCCTTACCGATCATTCGTTGTGCCTTAAGGTAAGAAATAAACTTACCTACAAACGATACTACCTTTCCACTCTAAGACTTCTTCATTTGGAAATTGGAACCTGACTATCTTGGCATGACAATCTAACATGGCATAGCAGGAAGACAACCAATCCATACCCATGATCACATCGAAATCCACCATTTCTAACTCTATGAGATCGGCCCCGGTGTTGCGACCTTGGATTGAAACTATACAACCTCTATAGACTCTTGTAACTCTCACTGACTCGCCAACTGGGGTAGATACTAGGAATGGCTTACTAAGTTGTTCAGGTTCTAGCCCGAGTTAATTGCAAAGTATGGAGTCACATATGAAAATGTTGAACCTGGATCCATTATGGCATAAGCATTATGTGAGCAGACTAAAAGTATACCTATAATAACTTCTACATATGCCTCTACACTCTGACAATCAAGTGTAGCAAACAAACGGGATTGTCCCCCTCCCTGAGTTACTCGATCTACACCTCTGCCTGCCCCATGCCCGGTCTGATTATGAGAACCATGAGCCTGAGGTGGTGCAACTACAGTAGCTGAGGAACTAGAAGGACGAGTTGATCCCCCATTGAAATTATGTTTCAACTTTGGGCAGTTGGCCTTTATATGACCAATGTCTCCGCAATGATAGCAACCATGAAACCCGAGCTTGCACTGACCTGAATGTTGCCGCTTACATGTTCTACAAAGACCTTGTTGGTGTGAATGTTGCTCAGCATGACTCTGGCTATGTGAGGATGCTGTCCTAAAATTCTGATTCTGGCGAGACTGGTTTCCATAACTCTGAGTACATCTGAAGGAATACCCACCACCTGACTAATGACTGGACTAAGCTGGTTCTAATGACTCCTTATTAGAGGAATCCCTTCCACCTCCGTTGGATGTACCATTAAACCTGCCCACTGGCAGGGCTTTCTTGTTATGCTCTTTTTCTTCTCTCCTATGTTGTCTGTCTTTTTCTAAGTGCTTGGCAAATCCCACAACAGAGGAAAAGGCTATCATCCCTATTGCTGCAGCTGATGTCGTATCCTTAATGTGGTAAGCTAAACCGCCAACAAACCTGCAAATCTTTGCTTTTTCTATCTTAACCATGTGAGGAGCATGCTTAGCTAACCTTATGAATTCCATGTAGTACTCTTGCACACTTTTATTCCCTTGGTTGAGCTATTGAACTCTGTAGCCTTAGCTTCTCTATCCTCTTCTGGGATAAAGTTAGCCATGAAGGCCTCTTTAAATTCTTCTCAAGTAGGCAGACCATCATCTTCATCTCTTTTCTTTTCCCACATCTCAAACCAAGCGCCAGCCACATCTCTAAGCTGGTAAGCAGCCAGCTCCACAACTTCATCATCAAATGCTTTCATCACTTGGAGGGCTTTCTTGACACCCTCCAACCACAACATTGGATCTTCATCAACTATAGAACCATGGAACACTGGAGGATTCAACTTCAAAAGTTCATTCACTCTTGAGGACTCAGAATTGTTTTGTCTAGTTAATTGAGGTGGAATCTCATCTCTTCTCTCATTCTGGTTGGCCATGAAGGCTTTAAACATTTTCATAGCACTGTTGACTGCATTAAATATCTGACCCACCTCTAGGGATATAGTTTTCTAAGCCGGAGCTGCTGTTGGGGGAGGCACTAGATCCTTAGGTAATTGCTCATCATTATCCACCCCTTCTTCACGTTCAACTCGGGGTACTTGGACCCCTTTTGTGGATCTACGCTTCCTTTTCTAAGTTAAAGCCTTCTTAGTTCTGCCTTGAGCCACAATAGTAGCAATAGTTTCTTGAGTAGCATCCTGAGTGTCGGTGTCAGAGTTACGAGTACGAGCCATTTCTGCGAGTTTTGGAGAAACGAATACATTAGATAATTTCTTATAGGTAAGATCTACTGCATGATCTAAAGTATAAAAAAATGAGACTTTTCCTAAATGCTTGTAGCCTCCTGTTTATAAGTATGGCGCGCTTCACACCCATAAACAAGACTCTACTAACATGGCTTCATAGACCCCTAAGACTCCATAAACCTGAGGCTCTGATACTAAGTTTGTCACGACCCATATTCTGAACAAGCCAGGACCGGCACTCGATCACTAAACATGACCGAGCGAACCATCTCTGCTTATCAAATCTATTATAACTCCAAACTTTATATGCAATAAGGCAATACTCTAACCAAATATTTTTGATTAATTTAAATATTTAAATAAATCAACTCCAAAACTTTATTCGTACTAACTACTGAATTACTGCTAAGTTATTATCAAAAACATCGGAATCTTAACCCAACGACTATGTCTATGAAGCCTCTACTGATAAACTGACGCACTGCTCAGGACATGAGATTTTCTGGCTAGTTCTCTAAGTAAACAAAGAAATAACTAAATAAAGATAACTTTAAGGAATACTCCACGAACAAAAGTGGAGCTCACCAATAGCACAAAGAGAAGGAAGTCTTAACCAGTAGCCTGCTCGCCTACAAAATCGGTTCATACGTTGTACCGCATACCAACGTAGGTTCCCAAAAGAGAACATCAGTACCATCCATTGTACTCAGTGAGTCTCAACAACAGGGGGCGAAACTTTAATAACATATACATTACGAGCAAAGGTTCTAAATGCATGTAAAATATAAAGCTTATAAGAATAATTCTAAAATAATTGTATAGTAACAGTTTATGAATATTCTAAAAGAAATTCTTTTATTTTTACTTCTTATAAAAAATACTTCACTTTATACTTGGGAGTTCCAACTATCCTGACTTAATTCTGTCTCAGTCACCATGTGATCGGCACGGGTTCGATCCCAACCTAATCGAATAGGCCCAATCTACGAGGTGCCACTCGCTTCATGGTTCTCAACGCTCATGTATCATACCTTAGCATGGCTAAGTAAATTCTCAGCAACGAGACCCTCGACTCGTGTGCTTCCTACTTTGGCACAAGTAGATTCAGGAAGTCAACGCCTTGTTAGGACCCTTGGCCTCGACGATGACCCCTTCTCAGAATAGAGGATACTCCCAAAAATCTTTTCTTTCTAAAACTTCTTCTTGTGACTTTTCAAGTCTAAATCTTTCATATATACTTATTCTGGAATCCCTATCCAAAGTCTAAACCACATAGCAGTGTATACATAGTAGCGTCTTTAACTAGAGATAATAATTACTGTCCAACTCTAGCATATGTTTTTTTTCATATAGACACCAATGTAGCTTTCTCGAAGACAGAAATCATGCACAATCCTTTTCCTGAAGAAGGGACATCAGAAAACCTAATAATACAAAATGCCAAAGACCTATAAAATAAAACTAATGAAGAAGTATGTAATCGAATAGGCATGCCATTATTCCAAATGTAAGATCCTTATAGATAAATTCTCACTCCTAAATCATGTTCAATCCGTACACTCACACAAGGATAGTTCAGTTACAAAGATGCATGCTGGAAAAGGGAAAGGCATGCCTTGTGTAGATAAAATCAACAATCTAGAAACAATTCTCTTACATGCATGGTATGGGTTTTCCCACTGCTCGTAACCCCACACGTGAAGATCGTGCTATATTAAAATAATTATCTAAACTCTAGCTAGAAAATAATTCTAAGCTAATAGGTACTTACTACTCCAATTAAGTATATATTAACTCTTTTATGCAATTCATCAAATACCTTGTATGTGTGCTTTTGTGAGTTAAACCACTTTAGTAAAGGGTTATATCAACTCATCTCAAAACTTCTCGAGCCAATACATAGACCCCAGTCCAATTGACACCAGTCAAACAATCGATTCTACAACCACCAGTGCATTTTAATCAATTTTAAAGTTTCACACCTAAACATGAAATTTATTGTTGATATAGAGGAAGAAGGAAATTAACCATTCAATTCTTACCTATTACTACTGATGTTTTAAGCATCAATACCACACAAGAGGGTGGTGATTTGTGTGGTACCCAATTTTCGCTTAACCGAACTATAGAAGAACCTGGTTCACTAGATGTTCCAACTACTACTGTTTGCGGAATAATAAATACAGAAAATAAAGAACACACGTATTTTTACGTGGAAAACACCCGGCTTAAAAGGTGAAAAAATCACGACCTACTACTCAGTAGGATTTTCCCCAACACTTCACTAAATCACTGATCCAAAATAGCATTTACAAAATTCTTTGTAAACCTAAGGATTACCTCTAATCCCGTTGTAGCAACCGGCCTCTAACTGTTGCGACAACTTCAAGTTAACTCTAACTTGAATACTCAAAGTACCTATTACAATTGCTTCTCGATAAAGCTGAAAAGTACAATATGAAAACACCTACTACAATTGAACTAGAAATAAAGAAAGACACATAAAACTCTTTATGAAGCTGGTTCTTCAATCTGGTTCATGTAGCTTCAGGTTTGCACACTTGAATCACACATGAACTGCTTGCAAAAAGCCTTGCTATTTTCCTCCCAATTCACGTTTAACTTCTGCGTTTTTGTGCAACACTTGTAATGTGAGAACATCTTGCAATTTATAGAGTTAGTAGATGAAGAAATAACTAGAGTTCTGATGCAACTCTTCCTTGGTGGAAGAGTTCTAGTTGATTTCAACTTCTAACTCCTTACCTATCTTGGATAGTGTTCTCTTTGATCAAGGAGTCCTTCTCCTTATCAATTATGCAACCTTTTCGATCAGGAGATATTAAATACACCAAGTTAAGCTTATCTCTTTCACGTGCAACCCACATGCTCGAATCTGCCCGCTTTTGTGCACCTGAGGGATGGACCTGGTTTATCCTGAGTTCCTTTGTCAATCTTCAAAACTAACCTTTACTTAGGCCAACAAATTCCCCCTTTTGATGATGACAAACTCTGTGCTTTTCATAAGCTTAGGCCCTGTTTCAACTCAGCTCAACATCAACACAATGTTAGAAATATTTTTCTTTTTTATCACTTATCATTAAGGACCAAGTACATTAGGTTATAAACATCACTTGTTTAAAGCACAACCTTTTTCCCCCTTTTTGCATCATCAAAAAGTTGCATAAAAAATATGAGATAACCAGATTTTAAAGCTTACTCATGGCCACTGAGGCTACTTCAAATGCAATCATGGATTAATCATCATAGATCAACCTAATAATTTTAACCATCAAAGAAATATAAACAAACAGTTAGAGAAAAAGACAGTGAATTTCATTGATAATTGATGATTCTACCACAAAGCGTAAAAAGAAATAAAAATACTGAAAACATGAGCAAAAGAAACAAAAAATTCCGAACTGGGTCACTGGTTAATCTACACTAGGCTAGGAGGCTTAAGGCTGGGAAGAACTAGATGCTTGATTTTTAACTTGGAGGAGTTTCAGTACACCTTGAAGAATGCCATCATTCTTCTCTTTTTCTCTTGCCAGCTCAGTTCTGAGAGCATCTCTCTTAGTCTCCACCTCAACCAACCTCTTCTTCAGTCTTTCAATCTCAGCATCCTTAGCCCCACTTTCTTGCACCAAGACTCTGACCTTGCTATTCACTGGTACCTTTTGGATGAACTAGGTTCTTTAGGAGTGACATTGACTTCATATCGCAAGCAAGCAGAGTATTAACCCAAAAATGAGCCATGCTTGTACTAACCTCCCACCTTTTCATAGGTACATTGAAATGTGCAAACACAGTTGTGAGAATGAAGCCATAGGAAATGGTATGAGTTTTGGTGTCATTAATAACTCTATTAAGAAGCTGGATTATAACTTTCAGTCACTTTCTTCTGCAGGTCTTGTGGGGGTTTCCTCTACAGATGAACCAGGTTCATCTCCCCAAACAACCATTGCACATGCGTCTTTGGTTAAACTTATAGGAGTGGGTGAACAATCAGCCACTCTTGTCCACTTTCCCCTCACAGTACTCCTAGCACCCTTGCTCTCCTTTTTTTCTTTTTCATTTTTACCACCAACTTCTCCAGATTCTGTAGTCTCAACACCTGCTATAGATCCTACAAATCTAGTTTCCAAATCTGCAGCAACTTTAGAAATTGTCTCAGGAGAAACTTTAGAATCAGAAGATACCTGTTCAATTTCGGAAGAACCACTTTCTTCCCCCTGAGTAACAGACTTAAAAGAATCTAGGTAGTTTAATACGATCAGGAGTCTTGAACATAACCGGTTCACTTGTAACGGATAAGTTCACAAGAACTTTGGTATTTGGTAGGACTCTGCTCATGATCCAAATATAGTTATTTCAAATTATGCAGAGTGTAAAAAACATACCGTGTTATCTTGATAAACCAGGTTCTTCACTGATAATTCTCTTGTGTAAGTCTACATTTGCCAAAATAGAGAAAATATCATTAAAGATTAATGAGTCATTTTAACACATGGAAC